AAAAATTTCAAGTTTGAATAAGTTTAAGTTCAATTCTTTTGGATTTGATATTCGAATTATTTAGATTCGATCATTTTGAATTAAAAATTGTTTGGTTTTAAAATCAAATCAATTTTATTTATGATCTTTTAGATTATATTTTTGGCTTTTTCAAGTTTAGATTATTTTCAAATCGAATTAATTAGAATTTAAATCATTTCAGTTTCAAGTTGGATAGGCTTCACTACCAGAAAAATCACTTTTATTGACAAAAATTTTCATCGATAATAGCTTCAATTTTGTCAGTAATAGTTTACTAATGGAATTTTTTACCGATGCTAGACAAGTCGATAATACTAATCCATTGGTAATGGGTAATATCTATTAGAATTATTGATGAAATTTTTTGTCGATAAATCCAAAAATTACAACTTTAATCCCATTTAAACAAGATAATGAAAAAAGTAACCAAAAAATTGAAAAATCAAATTGACTACCAATAGTGGAGAGGACAACAACAGTGGAGAATAGTTTAAGAGAGGATAGTGGTGGAGCACGGTTGGTGAAAATATTGAACGGATGGCTGGCGACTAGGAAGAACGGTGGAGAAGTGCGGTGAAAAGGGGGAGAAAGAGGGAGAAAGAGAGATTAGGGATTTGAAAATGGGGATTGGGGGTTTCACGATTCAGGGATTATGGGTTTAAATTTTTTTTTTTCAATTTTTGATAGATTATTGACGAAAAATCCATCGGTAATCAATCAACTTTTAAATTTTTTTCATAAATTTCTTTATCTGGAGAATTTTTCATTGATAATCTGTCGATATAAAGTCTCACCAAATTTTTATCTACAGATTACCGACAGAATAAAATTTATCGATAAATTTTGTTGGTATTCTTTTGGTGATTTTAAAAATTTTTTTATACTTAAATTCTGTCGATAATTTGTCAATAATTATTGACAAAAAATTTTCATTAGTAAAATTCTATAAGCGATAAAATAATTTTTAATAGTGTTCGAGTTATTGATTTTTTTAAATTTTTTTTTTTTTGAGATTAGCTTACATGAAGAATACCAATAAAATTAGAATTGAAATCAAGCCATTAATTATCTCCGCAAATGAACTTACTAAATAACCCAAATGTCAAACAAGATAAATTGTGATTAAAAATCTCGATATTTGTTCTCTGTTCATACTCAATAGTAAGCTCCTCCATGGTCTAGTTTCCATTTTCATTTTCATTTTTTGATTTTGTTTTTTTGATAGATTTTAGGGTAGGGATATCTAGGTGAATTGAAAATAATATAATATCTGCTGAGATATGGGGATATGTGGGCTATATTCATCATTGGAAATGATTCAGTTGATAGCAGCAAACTGTGGTGACGGATCAGCTGTCAGTTTCTGTATGGCATTTTTGTCATTTCATGCATAAAATCCTCTCGTGTTTCAGCCCCCTTCTGCACGAACCCTACCCCCCCCGTCGGGCCATCACCAAGTGCGGTTGCATCAGCTTAATCCTTTTGTTTGCTTCTTCAACTTTTTTGTGTCATTTAATATGGGAATGGAAGCTTCTTTTTCTTCTGTACAAAGTGCTAAATTTTAGTAAAAAGATTAGAAGGATATAAGAATAAATTTAAATGCATAGCTCTTCGAAAAGATGTTGTGATGTTGAGTTAAATTGAAATAACCTTTGGGTATCCCAAATAAAAAAAATGAAATGGCTTCATCAAATAAAAGAAAAAAAACTTTGAATGGCTATCATATAAAAGTGTCATCATGGAATTTATAATTTAATTTAATTAATTTATAAAATTATTTTTAAAAATATAATTTAAAATTTTAAAATTCAAATCTAATGCTTATAAAATTTTTTATTTTTAAATTACAACTTTTTTATTAAAAAAATAAAAATGTGAGCATGACATTTAAAAACCAAAACTAAAAATCGTTATAAAGTTCTCTTAAACCAATCGAAGAATTATGTGGTCATGGCAATATGGCATGCTTATGACTGAAAATTATGATTTTTTCAAATATATTGATAACCCAATTTTTATATGAATGGCAAACATAAAGCATCAAATGACATTATGACAATACCGTATATACTACTCGAAGATGCATCTTACTGTCCCAAAAGGCTAGAAAAAAATTGCCCATAAAGCAGCGACGGTGGGCCTAGGACTCCTCAACGGCCATGATTGAGACCCTTAAACGAACAATAAAAAGTATAATCGTGCCTTTCAATTGGTGGTGGGATTTGACTTTCGGAGAATTGGTTCAGATTTGGGTCAAGTTCTTTCATATCGGATCGTTTTGACCATTGGTATTTGAGTAATTTTGGGTTTGTATTATTTGTGTTTAAATACTTATAGATTATTTAGATTTAAATGATTGAGTTATAAAATCAAATCAAATAAAATTTAAATAATTTAAATTAAAAAATTTATATAGACTTATTTAATGCACACATTTCACATATTTATCTAAGACATAAGTTTTGAAAATTCTATTATAACACGTGAAGATTTAATATTTTTTACTTAAATTTTTAAAATAAGAAAATAGATATACAAATCCTTTGAATGCAATACCATAGCATTGTCCTTTCTTTTGGGTTAATTTTTTAGGTTGTTCTATTCAAATTATTGATTTTTTTAAAATTAAATTGGAACAGATCAACTTTATGTTCAAAAAATTTTTTAGATTTGCTAATTAATGCACCCAATGCAGGTTAGAAAATATCGAATTTTAACAATTTTCATCCCATTTGTCGATTTGTAATTCAGATTCGAAGAAATGCACGTAACAAAAAGATTATATTGAAAAAAAATACATTAAATTTAAAGATTAATCCGATCCTCTTGTCCATGTTCAAAACTTTGATTTTTTTTTTCAAAAATAGAAGACACGTAAGTTTTATTTGAATTGAACAAAGAATGGTATTTTTATAAGAATTTGATTTTTAGTTGTTGTTATATACTATTTTTTGGTACAATAAAATTGAACAGATTTGGTTTTTTCTTTTGGGTACAATTTATAAAACTTATCTTACTTCTAAATGTATTCATGCCTTTGTTTCATTCTAGAGTTCTTTTTTTTTTTTTTTAATTAAATTAAGTTAAAGGAGAAAGAATTTAAATCTTAGACTTTGTTCACTAAAAAAATTACAATTATTATGCCAATATACATGGATAATTTTTTTAAAAAAATTATTCTAGAAGTTGAAGTGTACAATTTAACTTATTTTATAGAATTGATAATTTATATATTTATGTTGTATATATTACGTATATTAAAACACTTGTAAATATAAAAATTATCGTATTACAATTTTATTGATACGTCAAATATGAAACATATATATTTTTTCAAACTAATATAATAATTTTACTAAAATTTAAACCATATTATTTTTATATATTTTTCATATTATTTTTATGTCGTATTATCATATTTAAAATTGTTAAATCCTCAATTTTTGAAATCAATCTAATTCTTTTATAATTAACGTTTTTCTCACTTATCTTCTTTTAAATTTGACTTGCAATATTCATAACTTTTTTTTGCCTAATTAACGTCACGTTTATGTTGATATATTTTAATTTTACATTATTTATTTTCTTTGTATAAGAAAATTTAAACATGGATTCCACTCCTAAAAAAATTATCATAACTTTTTTAATGCATAAAGTTTTGAAGAAAATTATGTGTATAAAGTTAATTGTAAAGTGTTTGATAATGTGAATTTGTAATTAAGTTTAGTGTAAGCTTAATTCTCTGAAGATCAAATTAGTATAATATTATAAGAAAATATGGAGGAAAAACAATAAATAAAGTATATTAGTAGTGAAATTTGTTGAAAATGGAATTGAGAAAAAATAGTTGGAAAAAGAAAAAGGTGTCATTATTGTCTTTTAATTGTAAGGCCGTAAGTCACGGAGTTACAAAAATCTTATAAAGTGTAGTTGGTCCACAAATTGTCTTCTTTATTCATTAACATAAAATTCTATACACCTAATAAAGGTTAAATTGTGATACTAAACTTAATTATCTATTACATATGATATATATTATAATTAAAATAGAGTCAATAAACACAAAATTCATTAAAAGTATATGATAAATAAATAAAACTAACATTATTAATATTTAGTACATGATGTTTAGAGGTAACCGTGATTCGGATCAATTCCACTTGAAATATTTATTCATTCACATATTTAAAATAATAATAAAATATTTTTATACCATTTTTATATTTTAATATATAAAAATGCCCTCACTAATTAATAAAATACTCATATTTTTAACGTAACTTTAGCTTAAAAGTAGAAACTCCAAACCTAGCACGTAGTAGGTCAGCTTATTGGTTTACGGAAAACTGGATGTATAAGTAACAAATTTCATTCAAATTATGAAAAAATGTTATTGAATAGATGAATTTAAAATAATTTTTAAAAATATAAAAAATGAATATATATTTTTAAATAGTGACAGATGACAATGAATCTTTAACAAATGCTCTTGCACTTTTATTAAAAATAAAATATTTGTTAATAATTATATGATATGTCCGTAAAATATTTAATTTTTAATAATTTTAAATAAAAATAATGTAGTATAATTGGGTCTGAGCATTCACATACAACGAACTCTAACATCTGTAGCAAAGAGGGCAGCATAGTAAAATAAAACTCGAAATCACTGCGTCAGTTTAATACACCCCATCATACATAATTCATGATGCGTGGATGTAGTTGATGTATGCATGCACATGTCACCATCACCATCCCATAAAAAGAAACTAGAACAAGTGAAGAGAAAGAATAGCATTTGACTTGATTTCGCAAAAAGAGTGAGGAAGGGGAAGGAAGAAAAGAAAAAAAAAAAACAAAAGAATTGCCAGCAGTCGAGCCGCGTCGTGTACTAGGTCTGTCGAATAGAGTATGTACTCTTAATTTTAATAATAGAATTTATTGATAAAATGTTAAACCTTTTAATTTCAATAATAAAATTTAAATCCTGAAAATTTTAGATATAGAAAATAAAGAAAAAAAAAAAAATCAATCGCATCGAATACAATTTTGACGTCCGCAAGGACAGCTCAGGCACTATTCTTCCAGTCATCTTTCTCTCCCTAAAAATTTTCTTTCTTTTTCTACGGCTTCTCTCTTTAGATATAGGGAAGGAGAACGAGGCATAATGAGACAAGAAAAAAAGTTGTAAGTGAAATAAAAAAAGAAGAAGATTTGATTGAGAGAATAGAGAAGGGCAAAAAAAAAGTTTTTTTTGGGTGGAGTGAGATATAAAGATATTTTCATTGCTTCGGTTTATTGAAGCAAAAACTAGGAGTGTTGAAGGGAAAGAGAGATAAAAATTTGGGTTTTTTTTTTTTTATGAATATGGTCTGATTGAATGTGTGGGAATTTTTAAATTTTGGTAAGTTTTATTATAGTCTTTTTAACTTTAACTTTTTGCTCTTTTTTTGTTTAATTTAATATCATTTTTTGTTTTATTCTTTTAAGTTTTGGATCGTTGATTTGTGCTGTTAAGCCTCGATCTAGAGAGATTTAGTTGGTTTTTATGGTCTTGAGTATTAATTTTTGTTTTAATATAGTAAAGTTATAATTTTTTGGTTTTTGGAAGGTTAATAATTTGAGTTTGGAAGTTGATTTTGATATGTTTTGTTTAATTTTAACTAGAATTTTGTTGGTTTTTATTAGTGTTATGAGTTTTGCTTTTAAGATTGGATTGGAGTTTGATTTTATGGTTATTGGGATTTTAGAGTTGGTTTTTGGTGAAAATTTTAATTATTTTTGTGCTAATTTGTTATTGTTGCTATTAAAATTATTTTGAAAAAAATTTATGGCATAATGGATCTGAAAATTCTTGTTTTGAATCTAGGATACATGCGAAAGCCATTGCTTGCTTTGTGAAGAGAGGGCAATCTTAGAATGCTCAGAATCAGAGCTGCTTCCTTGGCTTTGGTTTTCTATGTTCTTGGTCTCTTGTATTATAGAACATAAAGCTATATGCTCAGGCACAGAACTTACCCCTTCTTATTTGTGCACGATGAGAAGTGTGAAGATGTAAGCAGTCAAGTCGGGTATAAATTGCTGATTGCGTTGAGCTCAACGGCTGTATTTTTGTGCTTTGTTTTGTAACTGTAGTTTATTTAGTCTGATTCATGTTGTTTTAGATAGCGGTTGCAGTTTTGTGAGTGAGTGTTAGATAGTGATTCTTGAAATATGGTACCATCGGGGCCTTCTACTTCTATAGGCGGTACACAGTCTGTTACACCATCTCTTTTGCGGTCGAATTCAGGGATGCTAGGAGCCCAAGGGGGTGGTCTTCCTTCTCAAACTGGATTCCCTTCATTAATGTCGCCTCGCACTCAGTTTAATAATATGAATATGCTTGGGAATGTGCCCAATATGTCTTCCCTTCTTAGTCAGTCTTTTGGAAACGGGGTTCCAAACCCTCTGCTTTCTGGTCATGGGAGCAGCCAGCGGGGAGGAATTAACTCTGGGGCTGAATCTGATCCACTTTCAAATGTAGGTAATGGAATGGGGTTTAATGCTCCCTCATCATCGTTTGTGCCATCAAACATGGCAAACCCTGGTTCATCTGGTCAAGTTCAAAGTCAGCAATTTTCAAACCTTTCTGGTAACCATATGTTACCAGATCAACAGCAGTCCCAACAACTCGAGTCACAACATTTTCAGCAAGGTCAACAAGCAATGCAACAGTTCTGTGCACCTCACAACACCCAACAAGGGCAGCAGGAGCAACAGTTTCAATCTATTAGAGGAGGCTTGTCTGGTGTTAGCGGCCCAGTCAAATTGGAGCCACAGGTGACTAATGATCAGCATGGCCAACAGCAACAGCAATTGCAATCACTGAGGAATCTTGCTCCAGTGAAATTAGAATCACAACAAATCCCACCTATGAGAACTTTGGCACAGGTAAAAATGGAGCCCCAATATTCAGATCAGTCATTGTTTTTGCATCAACAACAGCAGCAGCAGCAACAACAGCAGCAGCAGCAGTTACTCCACATGTCACGGCAGCCCTCACAAACTGCCACTGCCCCAATTAATCTTTGGCATCAACAAAGGCTCTTGCAGCTACAACAGCAACAGCAACAGCAACTTTTAAAAGCAATGCCTCAGCGAAGGTCACAATTACCACAGCAGTTTCAACAGCAGAACTTGCCTTCGAGATCACCTGTGAAACCAGTGTATGAGCCTGGGATGTGTGCCCGGCGTCTGACACATTACATGTATCAGCAACAACGTAGACCTGAAGTAAGATCTCCATGGTGTGAAGATCTATTTTCCGCAAGTATTCAGTGGCTTTGTGGATGTAACATGTCTGTTTTTCATGTAGGACAACAACATTGAATTTTGGAGAAAATTTGTTGCCGAGTACTTTGCTCCAAATGCCAAAAAGAAGTGGTGTGTTTCTATGTATGGAAGTGGCCGCCAAACAACCGGTGTTTTCCCTCAGGTCTTTTTTGAGAAAAACTTGCTGAAACTCCCAATTCTCAACCTCATTCAATTGGTATCTCATGTAATTGAATGAGGTCAATTGTCTTTAGAAGCTTAAATATTTTTTGCTGCATCCCCCATTAATATTTGTAGATGGAATTTCTCCTCAGTCTTTGTGCCCTGCAGATGTCCTCAGAATCTTTGTTTGTGTTTTTCTGTTTTTAGTAGCAACTATTATTGCAAATGATAATTAAACTGTTTTAAAAATGTTACAGGATGTATGGCATTGTGAAATATGCAATCGCAAGCCAGGACGTGGTTTTGGTATGTCCTCTTCTTTTTCTTCTCTTTTTGTTGTTGTTCCTCCTACAGTCAATTAGCTAGTTTGCCATCTTATATTAGAGCGGTTAATATGTATTAGTTATATTTTGGGGTGTCAACGAACTAGATTGTCTCTTTTTGTTGTTGTTCCTCCTACAGTCGATTAGCTAGTTTGCCATCTTATATTAGAGCGGTTAATATGTATTAGTTATTTTTTGGGGTGTTCATTATTCTAGCCTGAATTGGTATATACTGGTTTCATGTAACTAATATATCCATCACTCCTATGTCTATTATCTTTCTACTGTGCTTTTAGAGGCGACTGTCGAGGTTCTCCCTAGGCTTTTCAAAATTAAATATGAAAGTGGTACTTTAGAAGAACTTCTTTATGTTGATATGCCCCGTGAGTATCAGAATTCATCTGGTCAAATTGTCCTGGACTATGCAAAAGCAATACAAGAGAGTGTTTTTGATCAGCTTCGTGTTGTTCGTGATGGTCAGCTTCGGATAGTTTTCTCACCCGATCTGAAGGTTACAAATTGAAGTAATGGCTTTTTATCAACTTTGAACTTTTTAAGGCCTTTATGAACTTAGTTTCTTTCTGTTTCGTTCTTTTCATCAGATATGTTCTTGGGAATTTTGTGCTCGGCGACATGAAGAACTCATCCCTAGAAGATTGTTGGTACCGCAGGTTGTGATTAAATAATTTTCTCTATAGCTTGAGAATGTGACATATATGCTATTGACTTGTGTGCATGGTATGCCTGAACTGTATGAAACCTACAGAGCCTGGTTGATTAAGTTGATTTTTCAAAGCTATCCACATGTCAATAAATAGGTCATCCGCATTGGATAATTTTTTTTTCATGTGCAATCTTGTATATCTTGTTTGTTACATCTGATGCTTTTTTTTTATATTGAGTGGTATGAGGTAAAACTCTTCATAGCAGCATATAACCATTTCATCATTTTCATCCTCACAAAGATAATACGGGTCTATGACTCTGTGGTGGTCAAAACTGTTATGATGTCATCGCTTTCACTGCTATTTTATGCTTACATTTGCTCTGGGAATTATAATTTCCATCGTAGGATATGATGAAGAATACGAGATCCATCTACTTGTACTATTTGTTTTATGCTGCTTTTATAAGATTTTTATCTCAAGAAGTTGGGATGCCTTTCTATTTTATGATTGGCTGCTTGAAATTTTCCTTTTGCACTGTTCTTGTAATCTTCAAATATCATATGAATGATGATGCAGGATTTTCATTTCTTTTTTCTTCATATTTTCCCTAACTTAGGAGTAAATCCTTTCTCATATTTAGAATATTTACTGGTTGTTATGTTGCATTCTTTGGATTGTAAGAGTATGATTGCTGCTTGTCTGGTATTAATCGTATTTGATGGTAGTAATTTGGGTTGTACAGGTTAGTCAGCTTGGGGCCGCAGCTCAGAAGTATCAAGCAGCAACTCAAAATGCATTAACAAATTTATCTGCTCCAGAGTTGCAGGATAACTGTAACTTGTATGTCCTTTATCGTTGTGCCTTTTGTGATTGAATGGAGCATTCCTTCCATTTTATTTGGTTGTTAGATTGATAGCTCTCTCCCTTTCTTTTTCTTCTTCTAGAGTGTGCGTGCCATGTGTGTTCCTCTTGCTCATTACCTAGGTGTATATGTGCTGTGTCAGTCACTTATACACTTTCTTTTGCGTGAAGCATTTTTTCTTTCTTCTTCCGGTTTCATTTGTTATGTTTAATACACATTATCTTGTTAGTTAAAAATAGATAACAGCTTTGCAGTTTTGAAAATATATACATATTGAAACCTGTTTTGTTCCAATCCTACATAAGTTTCGAAGCTTGAGTAACAACATTTGAGGTTGGTTGTCAGCTACTCTTCCTTGAGGACATTTGGTGTTCTTAATTAGATGATTTGCAGTGAAGGTGGCATACTGGAACTTCTAATTCCAAATCTGCAACTTCTAGCAAACCTGAAAATTACCAGAATAATGATGTTTGGAATCAAGAAAACATGATATAGAATGAAAGCAACCACATTCCATCTTAAAAGATCATAGAAATATGAATTAGCAATAACAATTTTTGTAGCTTAAATAAGGCCCTAAATTAGTGCAACATCAAATAAAGGCCGTGATCAATATTGTCTGTTTCATAGGCCTAAGGTTTGTGCTTTAGTCTCTTTACAGTTATGTTAGATGCACCATGTTGATGGATTCTGGTTAGGAATCTAGGTCACACAGACACTCTTGGGAAACTTCATCTAAAATCAACTTGCAGTATTTCATCTATTTCTTTTTTTTTTTCATTTGAATAATAGATCTATATGTATGACCTCTACTGCTTGCATGGGTTTCTAATAAGCTATTAACAAACTTTAGGTTTGTGGCATCAGCTCGGCAATTGGTAAAAGCCTTGGAAGTGCCATTGGTAAATGATTTGGGTTATACAAAGAGATATGTACGATGTCTTCAGGTGATTTCCTGCATCTGCTTACAATAAATTTGGATATGGCAGATATTTGAATTTTTTTTGCAAGATATTTTCCTCTCTACTATGTTATATTCATTATTAATCTGCTTTGTGTTTCTTGGTGTTCTGATTTCTTGAATTTCATATTGGGACATTTTTTTATCTGTTATTGAGAATTTGTGCAATTCATACAGAGATTTTATTGATAATGAGGTCTTTCTCCCAGTGGCTGCTGGATAACGGCTTGAAAAAAATCCATACAGAGATTTTATTGATAACTTTGCCAGCAAATGCTTTCTAGTTCTTTTTGGGAGAACAGAATCTGACATTAACTAAGCTTTTGATAGTTACTTCTTTTATTTCTCTACACTTTGAAATTGTTCTTAGTTGTTTTTCTTGACACTCAATGGTTCAAAGACCAAGCTCTACCTTTTTTTCCCAAAATTTTGTTTTGTTTCTAATGCAGATTGATGTCCTTTAAATTCTTTCATGTTACTTGGCAGTTTTTCCTCCTCTACAACTTACTAATTTCCATAATCTTCTGAAGTCCTTGTGGATCCATGTTGAATGTACTTGTATCATCAAAGTGTTCTAGCAATTGCACTTTATGAAGACTAAGTCTATTACTATATTATCAAGATGTACTGTAATGAGTGAAATGTTTGTTATCATGGTATGACAACAGGAAAAACTAAAATGTGAAGATGAGTTTTGTAGTCATATCTCCTTTTTGATTAACTATGCTATTGAAATTTATACAGCCTCCTAATGCGCTGTTTCTGTTTTTATTGGGGGTTTTGAACAGATATCTGAAGTGGTTAATAGTATGAAAGACTTGATTGATTACAGTAGAGAAACAAGGACTGGACCCATGGGTAAGTTTTGACAAGATTTCCCTTGCTAAATTTATTTATTTATTTTTATCATTGGAGGTTTTTTAAATACATTTTTTAAATGCTTGAAAGTAGCGATCCAGGCATCCTGCAACAGCTCTTGAGAGTTTCTTTTCCCCTCGATTTTGTATTTGTTTACCTTTAAACTAATTTCCATTGAGAGTTCTATAAGCTGGTTGACGGCAGTAGATGTGATAGCCCTTTGATAGCTTGGGATCATTTAATATTATTCTGATTTTTTAATTTTGGGCAGTTAAGGGTTCTTTGTTTCTAGCTATTAGCAGCCCAATGTGTTTGTTTCTAGTTTGATATGAACTTAAGTATGTTAAATAGTTGGTCCATCTGATGCAAACTACCCTGTTTCCAGGGTAGTGATTGGGGTTTTCTTTTTTTCTCTTATGATTGCAACATAATGATTGCAGTCTAGACAGAAATACGAACTATGCACATGTGTAGCTTCAGATTTATTTCTTCTAATGTTGGGCTCAACAATATGTGAGCAGGCTTGTTATCTCATTTATTTTGTTTTTCCTCAGAGAGTTTGGCTAAGTTCCCTCGAAGAACAAGTTCATCTGGTTTTCATGCTCCAGCTCAACAGCCTGAAGAACAGCTACAACAGCAGCAGACACCACAACAGCAAACGATGGCTCAGAGCTCTAATAGTGATCAAAGTTCTGCCAAGGCTTCTGGGATGCTGCTCACTTCTAACAATGGTGTGGCTAATGTAAATAACTCTCTTAATGCAGCATCTGCTTCAACATCTAGCGGCACCATTATTGGGCTTCTACATCAGAATTCTGTGAACTCCAGGCAGCAGAATTCTATGAATAATGCAAGCAGTCCCTATGGTGGAAACTCTGTTCAGATTTCTTCCCCTGGTTCCTCTGGTACAATGCCGCAAGCACAAGCAAATCCTTCTCCTTTTCAGTCCCCAACACCCTCATCTAATAATCCTCCTCAAGCTCCTTACGGTGCCTTAGCGGCTACTAGTCAAGTGAGTTCCGCAAATTCTCCTGTGAATATGCCCATGCGGCAGCCAACTATTTCTGGTGAGGCTGACCCCAGTGAATCACAAAGTTCTGTTCACAAAATCATTCAAGAAATGATGTCTGGCCATCTTAATGGCACAGGTGGTATGGTTGGCGTTGGCACTCTAGGCAATGATGTGAAGAGTGTAAATGGAATGTTGCCAACGAGTAACAACACAGTTCTCAATGGTGGCAACGGTTTGGTGGGAAACGGAACTGTCAACTATAATTCAGGTATTGCTGGTGGTGGGTTTGGTGCAATGGGTGGTGGGCTTGGCCAATCTGCTATGGTAAACGGAATCAGAGCTGTTATGGGTAACTCTGTCATGAATGGAAGGGTAGGCATGACGTCAATGGCTCGGAATCAAGGTTTGAATCACCAACAACAGGATTTGGGAAGCCAGCTTCTTAGTGGGCTAGGAGCTATTAATGGTTTTAATAATCTTCAATTTGATTGGAAACCTTCGCCATGAAAGGATATCTGAAAGCAGATGGTTCATTTATAGCTGCGCTGTTTTTGCAGCATGAGAGCCGGCAAGATTGCTTGTGGCTCTGGCAGATCATGGTACACTATATGAAAGATAGATCAAGGCCTTCCCTCCCACTTTGTACTAATTTCAGAAAAGTGAAACATATAGCACAGTGTTTTATCAATGAAATGTTAAAAGCATCTTTAAGTTGCTCCAGTTTCCTACTAATTTATTTACCCTGATTTTTTACCGTTAGTGCGCACCCCTTGGCCCTTGCCAGTGGCGCTTGAATGGAATTTTCGAAGGGACAAATGTGTAAGCTCTTGTAAACCCGAAAACTCGTTTTTTTGCATGCTATTGAGTGAAAGGCTGCTTATTTTGCTAATTTCAATTTCTTTCAAGCGTAAAATATTCTACAATGGTTAATTTTTGAAAATCAATTGCTCGTACCGTGAACATCATGTTAGGATGGATATGAGTTCCTGCAAAATGGAGTTTGCTATCTGCCTTTTTCTCGAGTTTCTTTAATCCATCTTTGCATTATTTGTATTACTAAGGAGGTTGTAATTTAAAAATAAGAAAAAAGGATGTAAGTTTTAAAATTTAAATTTTATACAATTAAATATCAATTTTTAAAAGTGATTGTGTAGTTTAAAAATAAAAAAAAAAGATAACAAAATTTAAAATTTAAATTTCACATTAGGTATCACCTTTTAAAGATTGATTATATAAATATATTAAACAAAGCTTCGAGCTTCTTCTTCGCACTTTTTATACGTTAGGTGGTGTGTTGCAACTTATAAGTTAGTGATTTCATGACTTCGGAGATGGAACCAAATCGACAATTCCTGGCAAATTGACTACTAAAACACACTAGTTTTATTCATCATTATTGGCTTGAAAGGGAACAGTCTTGACCGCCACCCCTGCTTATATTGACGGTAAGCCACGCCAGACAGTTTAGAGGCCAAGTCTAGGAATAATGAGAAATCATAGTAATAGGCCATATCTATTTTGCTTAATCAAAACATAAAAGCACAGCTATGAAAGCAGCCCCGTCTCCACTGTGAGACCTGGTCCGAAGCCGAGGAGAAACGGCCACTCCAACCCTGCACCAGTGGTGGCCCTGCCTTCCTCCTGTGACTTTTTCCTCATTTCATCCGGACCAAATAGCACGCTTGGACTCCAAGTTTCCATATTCATCCAGCACATGCCAACTCACCTTAAGCTTGTCTCTTACCAGCCCAAGATTTTCTTCAACTCCTCTGAGAACAGCTAGGCCACCAGGATAGAATACATAAAAAACCCATTCCAACTCCAGTCATTATGTTCAACTGCAATAGTACCGAAAGGTTCAAGCAATGCTAGAAAACATTGCTCAGTGTAATTAGCAACGACCTTTGGTGCATCCTGGCCAAACAATAGGCCATGCCCATTTCAAGTATGTTACCTACTATTTTATCTTCGGAGACAGGGATAATGGTCTGAGTTGCCGATACAATTTGAAACAATGGGCGCTCAATAATGGCGTCAGGATCAGCACCAACAATTGCAGCTGCAGCCCCATCAGCAAAAATTGCTGACCCAACAAGAATATCTAAGTGGGTTTCCGAGGGTGCATGGAACGTCATCGTTGATGTGAACTCAGAGCACACAACAAGAACTCGGGCACCGGCAATTTTCTCTGCGAGATCCTTGGCAAGACGAAGAGCAGTCCTACCAGCAAAGGAACCTTGTTGATAAAACATGAACCTCTGAACAGAAGGTCTTAGGCCAATGAGCTTAATAAGATGGTGATCGGCACCGGGCATGTTTATCCCTGTCGATGTACAAAATATAAGGTGCGTGATCTTTGTTATGGGCTGACCCCATTCTTCAATGGTCTTTAATGCTTTTGCCTTTCCAAGCTTAGGTACTTCTGTAACTAGAATTTCTTGACGAGAATCAAAAGATGGAGCCTTGTAGATAGTTAAGTTCGGATTCTTTTTGATGACATCTTCAGTCAAGTGCATGTAACGTTTCTTTATTGCAGATTTCTCACCTCTTAAACACCAAAACCATAGTTAAATATGTAGTTCCACTGAAAAATGTAAATGTCACGTATTTCATGAAACAAATTCATTGCGTATACTTACATATACGTTTGAACTTGTTTTTCAACTCTGTCATGTGCTGGCTTTTAGTAATTTCAAAGTAGTACTCGGGAGAATCAGCTTGGTAAAGGCAATTGGGTGGATTTGCGGTGCAAATGGCTAGGACATTGGCTAGTCCCTCAGCTTGGCAGGTCTCCAAGACATTCTGCAGAGATACCATTGGCTAATTATCTGGTTAATTGAGACCTTGCGTTTAAAGCCGAGTGAAAGTTCGAATTAGACCAAGTAGTTGCTGGCGAGGGAGAAGTGTTTGAGAAGAGAATTTTGCCGGCGGTTTGGTTTGACGAATGAACAAAGTTCAGGCTCTTGGTATTTATAGAGTCGAAGTGTTTACCTTTTTTTGTTTTTATTTTTTCTAGCCTAATTTCCTTTATGGGGGCAGTTAAATTAAAGGATAATAATTAAGGTAAGAAAGAAAAGTAGAGTGATTTGAGTTTGAAATTCTAAAAGGCTAGAAATTATTTTTTTAAGGCTAAAAAGGAGATAAATTCTGATTAAAATCATATTTTCACGAACATTTTGACATTAGAATTGGTTAAAAAATTTTCATCTTGATCATATTCCAACTCTCTATATGTAAACATAATACTTTTTGTAATTACCATATATTACTAAAAAAAAATGTCAAATCTAATATATTTTTTTAAATTCTTAATCTACTACTAAGAACCGTTTTAATCTATTGGCCAGAACCTTAGCTATGATTTTGTATAAAACATTGCACAAATGATGGGCCTATGTTGAGATATTTTTCTAGGATTCTTTATTTTCGGGATCAGAACAATGTGTGTATCAGTGATACCCTCTACTACTCCCCCCTCCATTCAATATGTGGAGACAGAAGCCATGTGTTCTTCTTTGTTTGCCAAATCTTCTCGATTTTGTCCTTACCGTGTCCACAATAATTGGTACATGATTTTGAGACTGGGCTTGTTAGATTTCTAACTTGGTAAAATGGACACATTTCACACTAGTCAGTACTGGCCACAGCTTGGTCTAGTCACTCTTGTATCCGATTTTGCTTAGCTCTACCTTTCTCCTACGTGAAACTTGGTCCTTGAAATCCAAGGTCGTTTAAAGCCATTTCCTTCAGTGCATTTCTAAAGTCCACCATCTACTATTGTGGCCTATCCCCACCTCCTCCTTTTTCACTGTTCCACAGGATCTCGTTAAAATCCCTTAAGCAGAGCCATGCTCGATCACTTTGGCCCCCAAGAGTCTGCAATAGATCCTAAGTAACCCTTCTCTCATTTGTACCTTCTGCGTTTGTAACATTCATATCGATGTGATATTTATAATAACTTCGAAGGCTGATTTCTACATCCTACTTCCACAGCATCACTATCCCACCGCTTCTACCCTCAGCCTCCACGTTGAACATCCTTTGCATACGACACTGTCTTCTAACCCTATCCATTTTTACATTATTAGAAATGGTTTCCATTAGGAATACTACCTCGGGGCCTTCTCTCCTTAGGATCTTTTGAGGAGCACGAACCGTTTATAGGTTCCCAAGCCCACGACAGTTCCATGCCAAACACTTCATATAGCTAGGTGGGACTGGTCCCAGTCACTAACATTTCAATAATTCCAGTCTCGTTTGAATTACTCTCTTCTGCCTTACTTTTCTTAACAGGTGCCTTGATCTCCATTTCTATGACATCCTTCCCCCACGTTTTCTTTTCGCTCGTTCAATTTGCTCCCCCACTCTTGCTTCATTTATTTCGTGTGCCAACTTTTTACATTTTGCACGTTTTGTGTTGGTAGCATTAGTTCCTTGCAAACCCGTGTGTTGCCTCTGATGTGCTATCTGTTTACCATGCATGTGTTCGGTTCCATCTTTTTCATCGTTCCCGGGTTCTTTTTTTGTTATCTGTATCTCATTACATTCTTTTGCCACTTTATGGGAACCAGCCTTTGTATTCACAATATGAGAAACATCTGGATTCCTCCTTTGACAGCTCATAACATTCTCCATAGTTTGCAATCCAGCTGCACTATTCTTGCTAGGCCCGCGTTCGTTACCTACCTTATGGGCTTCACTTTTTGAGCCCACTGCTTCCTCCAACCCCTCATGCATTAAATTGTTTCGTGTTTTGCCTCAAAAAACATGTTGGGTTGCATGGATAACGTCAGATATCCTGCGTCTGTTATCTATCCTATCCCGAGAATCATGCAGTTCACTATCATCGGGATTCCTTTCCATACTCAATCTCTTAGCTATTTCGCCACCGGTTTCTACCGTGACTCCCGCCCGACGATGTCTCATGCCTGCCGAACCCCTTTCTCATAAGGATGGGTTATTTTTTAATGGCGGAGCTCTGAGCCAACTACATTATTATCTTGGCTTCTGCGTTGTAGATTCCTCCCCTCTTTCGTTCTGTTTGCAAACATCCTCATTATGCCTGAGTTCCCACAATTGTAACAAAAGCTTAGTAGCCTCTCGTAGCTCAGCCGTCCCCAGACATCTTTCGTTCCTGGCCCCGTATTTAATAGGACTGCCTTTCTTAGTGGTTTGGTAATATCCAACTCCACCCCATTCTCAAAACCTTACCCATCCGCCATTCTTAAGACTTGCATCGATTGACTTCAATGTTCCTATCTTATTCGCGATACTTCTTGCCGTTTCTTGGTTTCGCATTTCTAGAGGAAGCCCTTATACTTTAATCTAAAAGAGGGCATGTGAAAATTTGTAATTATTGTTGGACATGAAGTAATAAATATAACAATGCAGAAGTAATATATCGCAATAAACCTATAGTAATAGATAATAATCAACAACGCAGGAAAAATAAAGCATACTAAGATTTATGTGAAAAGCCTTCCAGTGTAGAGAAAAAAAATCATGTACCACAAAAAAAGTCTCTACTATCAAATAATAGATATACAAAATTTTTCTCTAGCTAAAATTAAAATTAATCAACAACTAAAAAGACTATTAGATAAATCTCATCAAATAGGTGTCTTAACAAATACACTCGATTTATTTATAGAAAGCTTCAAATCCGATCTTTACCGTTCTGAATATAAAACTCTGAATCATAAACCTGATAATAAAATTTTAGCTCAATCGGATCACATATTGACTTTGTTCAACCAACTCTTCCTTCTCCCTTGTCTCTCTATTTTTCTAGCTTTTTTTTTCCCTTTTCTTTTCTTAGTTTGCGGTGCCGCCTTGTTTTTCACCTTAAAATAACTCTTACCTCTTTTTATTAAGTAGCTAGGGCTCTATATATATATATATAAAAAC